CCCTCCTTGGCGCAGTTGCTGAGCTGCAAATTAAAGCCAAGGCGGGCTCCTCTCTTGCTTCATACACCTTCACTTTCCCCCATCGCTTTCCCCACCATCACACCATCATCACTTCTTCCTCCCCCTTCCCTTTCTTTTTCTTTTTCTGGTTTAAATATGCTACATTTCATGGCCATTCCCCCCCTCCCTCTTTTACATGGCGCTCTCATTTCCTTCTCCTTGTAGTTGTCTTTTCTACACTCCTTCTACACTCCTGTGGGTTATTTTTTTCTGTCCTCCCCCGGTTGTATAGATTTCCTTTTCCTCTGCCTCTGACGGAAGGAAATCTTCCCGGGGTTCCAGCAACAACAATTTTTGTAGAAGACACACTGCTGGCAAAAAGAACAACCACCATTTGTTGTTGTTGTTGTTGCTGCTGTTGTTATTTTTGCAAGCAGTGCTATCTTCCACAATATAATAAGAAGGGGAAAAGAGAAAGACGGTCACGCAGCATTAAGATGGACTAGCAATTGTTTTTGTCTTCAGTTGTTTAGAAAGCAGACAATGTTCTGCTGTTTTTCCACGCTTATCTCTCCCCAAGTAATAATTTTTACAAAGCTACATGCATTTCCAGCCAAGTATGACGGTCATTGTGTTATTGTTTGCGGTGATGGTTCAAAATCCTTTCTTGGCGCTTCTATATTTTGGAATCATATGTCCAGTTCGATTTCAGCGAAAATAAACGAAGAAAGGGAATAGTAGTAGAACAGAGAGAAAGAGGAAGAGAGAGATGGAGTCTAAATTTGTTTCAAATGTCAGTCCAAGTCAAAACCGGTGTCATCTCCACCTTTAATCTGATTTGATTAAATCAGTTAAATCTGATTTGAGAGAGGATCCAAAGATAGTTGCAGAGAGAGTCAGTTTTACTGAGATCAGTAAAGGTCTTACTTCCAAACAATGAAAATCCAGAGTCTTGGCAATCTTGACGGACCTAGGTTTAACGCTAAGGATTAAGCAATAGTCTGGTTAGAGAAAACTCTTTGCCTCAAATGAAGTGGTCACTATTCTTGGAAAAACCGACCTCGGGAACCCCTTGTTGAAATGGACAGGGCTGGAGGGACTCGGGTCAGTCAGATACATAGAAATGGGTAGCTTCCATTCATTCCAATGGGGCTCCTCTCTGGAGAACTTCCTGGAAGGTCAGGTACTTAAGATCATTGGGACAAAAGGTTGAGTGTGTTCTGTTTTCTACATCGGTAGATCTCTGAAGAAAGAGGGGAAAAAATGTTGTGGGTCAAAACGTTGCTTTGCATTTAAGGAGGATCCAGTCCTTGAGGGTTTAAAAGCAAAAGTTGAAACAACATAGCATAACAAGCAGGAATCTAACAGATTTCGACAACAATCCTAACTGAAGGAAAGAAGGAAGGAGAGAGGAGGAGAAAGAGAGAGAGAGAGAAAGGGGGGAATTATTAACTGAAGTATAATTATTAATTGAGGTTCTGAATATATTATAACTGAATAAAGAAGGAATGTCCAGTTCGATTTAAACGAAAATAAAAGAAGAAAGGGAATAGTAGTAGAACAGAGAGAAAGAGAATAAGAAAGAGAATAAGAATAAGAATAAGAGAGAATAAGATTAGAGAATGCAAGGATAGGAAAAGGTTTCCCAGAAACCTAGGGATGTCTACCTAGGGAGAATCACTTTGAAATTAATATTCTTTAATTCTGAGTAACTGTGTGTAGGATCGAGGTATAAATTTTAAGGTCGTGGCTTACAGTGGAGATAGATTGGCCATTGCCTCTCCAGTCGCATGGTACAGTTTAAAACAAAACACAAAAATAGGATTGAGTTATTTTGTCCTAGGAACGTGGAACAATCCTTTGTTGAGCGTTACTAGGGAAGAACACTGGTTTGGGTTAGTGCCTTGTAAGAAGATGGTATCAGAAAGGGGGGAAATGTAGCCAACTGTGGCTTTTTGGATGAATGAAGGGGAAACATTGGTTTGTCAATAATCACAAGTGAAGGCAATCCTCTTCTCTGCCAAATCGCCTCTGGCTTCCAGAAAAGTCTTTTTTCTTCAATAGCAGTGACTTGTAGTCTTGCTGGTTTTGAAAATAGCAGAGAGCCAGTATGGTTTGAATGTTAGACTAGGACTCTGGAGATCCGGATTCCAGTCCCCGCTGAGCCTGAGCCGTGGAATCCACTGGGTGACCTTGGCAAGTCACACTCTCTCAGAGGATGACAATGGCAAACCCCTTCTGAAGAAATTTGCAAGTAAACCCCATTGTAGGGGCGCAGTGTGGGTTGGGACTTAAGAGCATTGAGGTGGACCACCAGGTCAAAGAAGGCTGTTCTACCTTTAAATCAAAGGTATTGTACTGGAGTGAGTGAGCTTCAGCCTCAATGTTCCCTCTCAGGTTGAATCAAGGGTTCCACAATGCCAGGATAACCCTAAATATTTACCTTATGGAAATCTAGAGGAAGAACACAGGAAAAGAGCAGCAATTTCTAGCTGACTAAACAGTGGTTGGTTGCCATATTGATCCCAACGGATATGTTTCAATAGTTTGGGCATATATTCCACTATGCCAACTGAGGCTGGCGTAAGCCAAGTGCGAGCAATCTGTGTCTTCCCAGATCTTGCTCGACTGCAACTCCCATCATCCCTAACCGTGGGCCGGACTGCCTGGCTGGGGCTAGTGGGAGCTGATGCCTAAAAGCGGTGGAAGGATACAGGTCCTTCGAAAATTGGGAAGAGCCTTTTGTTGTAGTGTGCCTTCAAAGTTTCTGGCTTATGGCTACTTGAGTCGGGGCTGTCTTGGCAAGTTGTTTTTTTTTCTGAGGGGGTTTGCCTTTGCCTTCCTCTGAGGCTGAGATAGTGTGACCCAAGGTCACCTAGTGGATTTCCATGGCCAAGTGGAGGGGATTCAACCTTGGTCTCCAGAATCGTGGATCACCGCTCAAACTACTACACCACGCTCTCTCTCTATTCTTTGATCTATTTCTTTCTCCAAAAACGTTTAGCTCTAGATCCATTCCACACACAGCCTTCCTCCAAAGGATGCCGCTGTTGTGTGCAGCCTAAAGAAAAGACCTTTTTGGGTTAAGGCTCAGTCCTTTCTTTAAAATAAAGTGTTGAGTTCAATAGAGGATTATTGTAGAGTATATGTTCACAGGATAACATTTTTGGCCTCCAATGGATACTATGCAGGATGCAGTATCCAAAGAGTTATCAGTAGATATATGTTTTTTAAATCAACTTTATTATGGCAAATCCCCAGCCGATTTCTTGATGACAGTTTTATTTCCCACATCGCATGTCTTTAGCTATGTAGGCTTATCGTTGGAAGAATTTAACCGGGGTGGCACCCCTTCCAAGGAGGGTTAGTTAATATCAGGGAGAAGAGATCATTCGGAGGAGGATTCAAAAAGAGCTGGAGCAGAAGAATGGTTATTTCGTGTCGACTTTTTGCGAGGCTCTGCTATCATTGCTGAACGGTGAAATGACAACTGAAGAATGCGTTGTGGAGGTTATCCTCCATCATCCGTTGAGAAGTTTGCCATTCTTGTTTGTTTCCTTTTAAACATGATTTCCCGGATTCAGATATATTGCTGTTTAGAGCCACTGGAGACCAGGGTTCGAATCCCCTCTCGGCTACGAAACCCGTTGGGTGAACTCGGGTGAGTCACACGCTCTCAGCCTCAGAGGAGGGCAATAGGAAACCTCCTCTGAACCAATCTTGTCAAGAAAAACCTCAAGATACCCCCCCCCTTTTAGGGTCGCCATAAGAAAATGGCTTGGAGGCACACAGCAATAATAACAAGATTAATTAAAACCACACAAACCATACAATAATAACAAGATTAATTAAAAACACACAAGGGTGTTGCGTGGAGGGAGGGTCACACTCTCTCAGCCCCAGAGGAAGGCAATAGCACACCGTCTCTGAACAAGTCTTGCCAAGAAAGTCATAAGTCGGAAACGACTTGAAGGCGCACGACAATAGTTTAAGAA